ATCCTCAGCCAAAATGGGAGGTGCCTTTAGGGGCTAGGTGTCCACACAGATGCTGAGGAACGCCCAGGCTTCCTTCCCTGAGACTGCCTTCTCAACAACACTCCTTCTTAGTTTGCTTGACCCGGGTCACTGTGACCTGACCATTTTTCCTCTGCATCCAGGGCTGAGGTGGAGAGGGGCAGTGTACTCCTGCAGCACAGGTACGGGAGGAGGCAGCTGTGGGAGGGAGGGAAAGAAGGCCACAGGCACTGCTCTTGTGCAAGGAAGCCTCCCTCTCACTCTTCAGCTGGCAGTGGGTGGCTGCCCAGAACCAGGCTCTCTGGATCAAACCCAGCTTTTGCACTTGTGACCTTGAACAAGTTTCTGAACCTCTCTGATGTGTTTCTTCAATGGAGATAAGCATAACCTGTCTGATAGGCTGAGATTGAATGAATAATTAGATATGAAATGTGAATAGCACCTGAGACCAGACATGGTGGCTCACACCTGTAATCCCAGCACTTCGGGAGGTTGAGGTGAGCAGAACACCTGAGTTCAGGAGTTCGAGACCAGCCTAACTAACATGGAGAAACCCCATCTCTACTAAAAAAAAAAAAAATGCCGGGCTCAGTGGCTCACGCCTATAATCCCAGCACTTTGGGAGGCCAAGGTGGGTGGATCACAAGGTCAGGAGATGGAAACCATCCTGGCTAACATGGTGAAACCCCATCTTTACTAAAAATACAAAGAAAAAAAATTAGCCAAGCATGGTGGCAGGCACCTGTAATCCCAGCTACTCGGGAGGCTGAAGCAGGAGAATCACTTGAACCCAGGAGTCAGAGGTTGCAGTGAGCCACTGCTCTCCAGTCTGGGCAACAGAATGAGACTCTGTCTCAAAAGAAAAAAAAAAAAAAGCACCTGAGGTGTTTTGTGTTCAAATGTTTGCTATCAGGATTATGATGTTTATTACTCAGCTATCCCCTTTGTTCCTCTGGAAAGACACAGCAAAGCTGGCTGGGTGCTATGGCTCATACCTGTAATCCCAGCATTTTGGGAGGCTGAGGCAGGCAGATTGCTTGAATCCAGGAGTTCAAGAGCAGCCTGGCCAATGTGGTGAAACCCCATCTCTACAAAAAAGAAAAAAAAAAAAACACTACCTGAGCGTGGTGGCACATGTCTGTGGTCCCAGCTACTCGGAAGGCTGAGGTGGGAGAATTACCTAAACCCAGGAGGTCAAGGCTGCAGTGAGCTGTGATTGCACCACTGCACTCCAGCCTGGGTGACAGAGTGAGACCCTGTCTTTTAAAAAAAAAAAAAAGACAGCACAGCAAAGCAGTGGAAGCCCTAAAGCTAGGAGGCCTCATTTTAAATCCCAGCTCTGCACTGGGAGGATGTGTGACTGCACAAGGGCCTTCTTCTCTTTGAGCTCAGTTCTCTCTAGTACTTTTGGGACACTGCCCTCTACTCTTCAGGTTGTATGCAGATTAAACATAATGCAAGTGTGGTGGCTGGCATGATACTGCTATCAAAGGTGTTTGAATAAGTTTGTTCCCTTCCTTCATCCCACCCAGCTGTTCAGCCCTTCCTTTTTTTTTTTTTTTTTTTTTTTTTTGAGATAGAGTCTTGCTCTGTTGCGCAGGCTGGAGTGCAGTGTTGCGATTTCAACTCACCGTAACCTCTGCCTCCTGGGTTCAGGCAGTTCTCTCAGCCTCCTGAGTAGCTGGGACTACAGGCACACACACTGCTAAGCCCTTCCTCTCTTTAGGGTTTTCCCACAGCTCTAGTCAGGATTTGGCTCAGCCAGCGTAACCGAAGCCTGCAGGTATGTGTGTGCATTGGAGCACCATAGTGGTGAAGAGGAGCAGTAAGAACCCCAGGGCCAGGGCCCCTCCTGGCTGGAATGGAATGGGAGAGAAGGGCCACAGAAGCCTCTGGCTCTGCCCTGCCTGTGAGCCTTCCAGCCTGACAGCCTGGTGCTGTCTTTGAGTCACCTGTAAAATAGATGCAGCTGCAGTTAGCTAGGGTAGGAGAAAAGACACAGGACCAGAAGAAGGACCTAGAGTGTGAAATGTCAGTCAAGCCACCGTTTAGACCATTTAATGGTTTTCCATGGTGCTCTGGCCTGGTTGTCAGCCCTGCCCACCTCTGAGTTCATGAGCTACCATTCACCGGTTCCTTAAGCCAACCCTTTCCTGCCTCAGTTCAGCTGTTTTGGAGGACCATAGAGGTGAAGGAGGGCAGATGAGAACCCCACGGCCAGGGCTTTTCCTTGGAATTGTTTAGAACATTCTTAGCTTTCTATATGGCTGGCTCTTCCTTATCCTTACATCTCAGCCTTCCAAAACCCTTAGCCATGGAAGTTTCTCTTATCTTTATAACCCCCCCCACCTTTATTTTTGTTTCCTTTTTGGCACTTATTGGTGGTTATTCACCTAGTTGTTGATTGTCAGTCTCCATGACTAGGTGCACTGTAAGCTCCACAAGTTGGCGTGCATGTGTGTTTAATTCACAAAGGCATCCCAGCACCAAGAACTGGGCCCAATATAGCAGGCACTCAAATGATAATTTGAATGAGCAAGAAGCCTTGAAGAGCAGCAGGAAGGTGAGAAGCTCTAACTTTTTTTTTTTTTTTTTTTTTAAGATGGAGTCTCACTGTGTTACCCAGGCTGGAGCGCAATGACTTATTCTCGGCTCACTGCAACCTCTGCCTCCTGGGTTCAAGCAATTCTGCCTCAGCCCCCACAAGTAGCTGGGACTGCAGGCACGCGCCACCACACCCGGCTTATTTTTGTATTTTTAGTAGAGACGGGGTTTCACTGTGTTGGCCAGGCTGGTCTCCTGACCTCGTGATCTGCCCACCTCAGCCTCCCAAAGTGCTGAGGTTACAGGCGTGAGCCACTGCACTTGACCGACTTTTTTTGCCTTTGAGACAAGGTCTCACACTGTCACCCAGACTGGAGTACAGTGGCACAGTCACAGCTCACTGCAGCCTCAACCTCCTGGGCTCAATTGATCCTGTCACCTCAGCCTTGCAAGTAGCTGGCACTACAGACACACACCACCATACCCAGCTAATTTTTGTACTTCTTGTAGACACAGGGTTTTGCCATGTTGACCAGGCTGGTCTGGAACTCCTGAGCGAAAGCCATCTGCCCACTTTGGCCTCCCAAAGTACTGGGACTGCAGGCGTGAGCTACAGCATCCAGCCTGACTCTCCAGGCTGGAGTACACGGGCATGATAATGGCTCACTGCAGCCTCGGCCTCCCTGACCTCAGCCTCCTGGGACTATAGGGCACGTGCCATCACAACAGCTAATTTTTTGTGTTTTTGTAGAGATGTGGTTTCACCATGTTGCCCAGGCTGGTCTCGAACCCCTGGGCTCAAGTGATCTGCCTGCCTCAGCCTCCCAAAGGCTGGAATTACAGGTGTGAGCTACCGTGCCCAGCCAGGGGAGGGTCTTCATGTCCAGGCTCTGGAGTCTGGACTTATCGTGTAGGCAGTAGGAGACAAATGGCAGTTTTCTAGAACAGGAATGACAGCCATAGCATTTTAGAAAGAACACGAAACCAGTAAAGAGGCTAGACTGAAGAGCTGTAAAGTTGGGGGCTATTCAAGATCGTCCAGAGATAGGGGGCAGGGTGCTATAGGTGTCCCCCAAACCACATGCATATCACTTAATGGTGAGAAATTTTATACTTCTAAACAATCAACTAGATGGGAATGGGGTCAGAGTTAGTGGTAGCTTTCTCAACAGCGTGTGGAAAAAAGTCAAGGATGTTGGTTGAGCGCATGTTCTGCTGAGGCTACTACTCCTGGTATTGCTGAGAAATAAGAATGCCTTTCTTCCACGCCAGGCACGGTGGCTCATGCCTGTAATCCCAGCACTTTGGGAGGCCAAGGCAGGTGGATCACTTGAGGTCAGGAGTTCGAGACCAGCCTGGCCAACATGCTAAAACCCCATCTCTACCAAAAAAAATAAATAAATAAGAAAAAATAAAGAATAACCTTCTTCCTGATAGCTCCCTTGTGCCTTTGTGGCTTTCTCTGGCTGGCAGTGAAACTCTGCACTACAAACTTGGGAGTGAGTTGCCCTTAGCATCAATCCCTCTCTTCTTCTTCATCCACCCAGGCAGCAGGTCCTGCCATTCCAATATCCTAAACGCAGCAAACATTTGTCCTCTCGCCACCTCCCTTAATGTAACCTGAACTACTAGCAGTACCCCGTCTCCCTGCTTCCAGTCTGTTCTCCACGTCATACGTTGCTCCTTGCGTCAAACCCTCATATAGCTCCTCAGTACCCTTAACAATAAAGAAGCAAATCCTCCTGCTAAGAGGTAGCCTTCAGTTACCACTCTAAGCTCCAGCCACATGGAGTTTTTGTTTGTTTGCTTTTTTGAGACTGGCTCTGTCACCCAGGCTAGAGGGCAGTGATGTAATCTTGGTTCACTGCAACCTCGTCCTCCTGGGTTCAAGCAAGTCTCCTGCCTCAGCCTCCTAAGTAGCTGGGATTATAGGCGCCTGCCACCATGCCCAGCTAATTTTTCTGTTTTTAGTAGAGACAGGGTTTCACCATGTTGGCCAGGCTGGTGTGTGTTCTTATTTAACTCTCTTTTCCTACTATTAACTTCTGTGTTTTCTGCTGTGTTCCCAGGTCCTAGGACATGCTTCATAGCTGTTTGTTTTGGTTTGTTTTGAAACAGGGTCTTGTTCTGTTGCCCAGGCTGGAATACAGTGGTACGATCATAGCTCACTGCAGCTTCCACCTGTTGGGCTCCAGCGATCTTCCGACCTCAGCCTCCCAGGTAGCTGGAACCACAGGGGCGCACCACTACACCTGGCTAACTTCTTTTGTAGAAACAGGGTCTCCCTGTGTTGCCCAGGCTGGTTTCGAACTCCTGAGTTTAAGCAATCCTCCCGCCTTGACCTCCCAAATTGTTGGGATTACAGGCGTGAGCCACTGCGCCCAGCCCATAGCTGTTTCTGATTGAGCGAACTGATCGGTCTTGTATATTCATTCCAGATATGTAACTGGTTCATCAATGCCCGGCGGCGGCTTCTCCCAGACATGCTTCGGAAGGATGGCAAAGACCCTAATCAGTTTACCATTTCCCGCCGCGGGGGTAAGGCCTCAGATGTGGCCCTCCCCCGTGGCAGCAGCCCCTCTGTGCTGGCGGTGTCTGTCCCAGCCCCCACCAATGTGCTCTCCCTGTCTGTGTGCTCCATGCCGCTTCACTCAGGCCAGGGGGAAAAGCCAGCAGCCCCTTTCCCACGTGGGGAGCTGGAGTCTCCCAAGCCCCTGGTGACCCCTGGTAGCACACTTACCCTGCTGACCAGGGCTGAGGCTGGAAGCCCCACAGGTGGACTCTTCAACACGCCACCACCCACACCCCCAGAGCAGGACAAAGAGGACTTCAGCAGCTTCCAGCTGCTGGTGGAGGTGGCGCTACAGAGGGCTGCTGAGATGGAGCTTCAGAAGCAGCAGGACCCATCACTCTCATTACTACACACTCCCATCCCTTTAGTCTCTGAAAATCCCCAGTAGGCATCTGCCAACAAGGGTGCTCAAGGCTCAAGCCAGCTGTCCTGGGTTTCCGTTTCGGTTCCCTTTCATACAGAGGGTTTTCTATGGATCACTGCCAAACATTGGGATCATCTCCTCTGTCCAGAGGTCTTCAGCAGGAAGACGCCAGCTGGCACCACTGCACTGTGATGGGGGCCCTCTCCTCTGCTGACTCTGCCGTTTCTCCAGGCCTCCCCTCAGTGATGAGACCAAGAGATCGGAGACAAGCATGGTGCTGCTGCTGCTGCTGCTTCTCCAGAAAATCCCTGGGACACCTTTGTTGCAGCCTGGTTTCCTGGGCTGGGCTCAGGAAAGCTGCCAAGTTCAGTCCTATGTTGGGTCCAAGCTGCCCCTGTGCTGTTTCTGTCAAGCCAGGTATGGACATTCCAAGTTCATATGCATGAACAACAGAAAAGAGGAACCCAGTGGATGTAACAGAACCGACTCCAGTTGAATGTTTAGATTTTTGCTAAACTGTTTTCTTTTTCCCTTTTTTGCTGTGGTTTGCATTCACGGCAGTAGTTAGCCCAGGTGTGGGGAACGAGAGTGCACTGCATGATAGCGTTATAGTGAGCTGGGAAGGACCCACCACTGCCACTGGGGATTGTTTTGCAAGAAAGGAATATTTTTATTTTGGGGACCAGCTAAGTCTCTGCAGTAGTGTGAAATTCCAAATGGTGGTTTTATCGTTGGTTTGGTTTACCCAAAAAAAGGCAGGAAAAAAAAAAACCCATATGAGCGCATTGACTTTTCTGCCACAGGCACAGAAGGGTAGAAAGCCACAGCAGGGGGCAGTCCAGCAGACTCTGACTCAACTTTCTAGGTACCTAGCAGAGAAGGATGGTAAGATCAAAAGGTGTTTGGTTTTTCTTTTCTTTTTTATTGTAGTTTTTTGGGGGGTGGGGGGAGTAAACTAGACAGAAGCGATGGATTTTTTTTTTTCTTTAATGTTTTTCCCTTTGTTCTTGAACATTTTTGCCCTGCAGCCTGAGTTTTGAATTCTTTTAGGAACTTGGATTAGAGGGCCCCTATGTCAGAAGCTCCCAGCACCTCCTACTTGGGAGAGAAGTGAGCCATCTGCTGGTCAGGAAGTCCTCCAAAGAGGCAGCCTTTCCCACAATGGTGGCAGGAAACTATCTGGGGAAAGCAGGAATAGTGTCCACTGCTGCCAGGGAACTGCCTTCAGAGAAGGCTGGGGCTGGAAAGGGGTTAGAAGCCTGCTAGCTGGGATTGTCTTTGTTTCAGCTTCCTTTAAATTAGAGTTACAGGGGCCCCTGCCCAGTGAACAGATCACAATTGGTCTTATGCTCCTCCCTCTCCCCCATTTTTTCTTTTGCTGTTCTGTTTTTTGTTTTTTTGAGATAGAGTCTCACTCTGTCACCCAGGCTGGAGTGCAGTGGTGCGATCTCGGCTCACTACAGCCTCCGCCTCCCGGGTTCAAGCAATTCTTTGCCGCAGCCTCACGAGTAGCTGGGATTATAGGCGCCTGCCACCATGCCCAGCTAATTTTTGTATTTTTAGTAGCGATGGGGTTTTACCATCTTGGCCAGGCTGGTCTTGAACTCCTGACCTCATGAGCCACTGCGCCCAGCCTCTTTTGCTGTTTCATTGCTGACAGTGTTCAACAGCAATATGTCCCATCTTTATGTATCCTAAGAAACACTAATCCTAGGTTATTGCTAGCCAAAATATTTTTGTCCTGAATAACGTCACTGGGCCAAAAGATAGATCAGTACCGCAGCCTTTAGTTTCCTGAAATCACCAGGTCAGGCACAAGGAGAAGAGAGGTTCCTGGATACTGACTAACTTGGGTGGGCCTAGCCAGGAGAAAGACAGTAACATGTGTTCTGTACTTTCTTGGAAGATCCCTGAAGCCATCACAGAGGCTCCCCAACTTCTGAGTTGCCCATCTGTTGCTGGAGTGGGAATGGATTGCTGAAGGAGAGGGAGCTTTGCTCTCTCTAGGTGGGCAAGTTTCCTGGGCTCTCTGTGTTGCCTCCCTCTGGCTTCTTCCTCCCGTGCCCTCTCCCCGTGTGCCCCAGGGGGATCAGGGATCCTCACCCTCCTGAGGCCCAGTGGGGAGGAATGAACATGGCTGCGTCCAGGTTCACTGAAGCTGCCATTTGCCCAGCCTTTTCCATCCCAGCCCTGTCAGTGAGCCCTGGTCTGGTGCAACTGCTGCAGGATGCCTGTAGTAGGGAACTCTGGAAGTGTATTGGTCTGAGGTGGGATTTTCCCTCCCCGCAGTGCACTGAGCAACAGAGGGTGGTGAGGGGTGAGGCAGCCATGCTGCTGAATTCTGGTTGGCATTCCCCCATTATGTAAAGTGGGGTATTGGGGTGGGGCAGACTCTGCTTGGGTTTTGGGGTGGGGCAGACTCTGCTTGGGTTTGGTTGTAAGATAAACCTAGAGGAGAAGTACAGTTGTCCCATTGAATTATTTGAGCAAAAACTACTGTAAATAACTTTTTTGTCTTTTGTCAAATAAAATTGTTGTTTTGTTTTTTTAAGCAGAAACAGGGTTCTTGATGATTGATCCACCAGGGCTCAGGGCCCAGGCTTGAAGACAAGGCAGTTACTGGCTTCCTACTTTGCTTTACATCTTTTACTCTCTCTCTAGTAGCCAGCTGTGAGTTCTGTGCACGCTGTACCCCCATTCCCTTTCACCAGCTCCATTCTGTATCCCATTCAACTCAGGGTAAAGGGGGTCTTTGCATCCTACATTGAGCCAGTCTTCCCTGGGATCAACAGTTAAGCTTTGAGGTTGCTAAATGGTGAGGCTATAACCTTGAGGAACTGGCAGTTTTGTCCTCCCCCTCTCTCGGTAAGAAATGAGCACAACTGCAGCGTGAACCCAGCACAGAGAGAAGCAGCTATGAGGTGGAAACTCCAGTCATGTCTGAAACCAGGACTACCTCTAGACTTCCCTATTATGTAAGCTAGTGAATTCCCCTTTTTGCTTAAATTAGCTGTTAATGCATTTCTGCCATACTGAAATGACAATACACTAACTGCAGCCCAAACTACAAAAACCAAGGTCTGCAACAGTGGGAGACTGAGTTTGGCTGAGTGGGCCTGGGCCTGGGTGTGGGTCTGTGCTATGTTCGATCTCTCTTTTTTTTTTTTTTTGATATGGAGTCTCTCTATCGCCAGGCTGGAGTGCAGTGGCGCAATCTTGGCTCACTGTGACCTCCACCTCCCAGGTTCAAGCGATTCTCCTACCTCAGCCTCCCAAGTAGCTGGGACTACAGGCGTGCGCCACCACGCCTGGCTAATTTTTTGTATTTTTTAGTAGAAACGGGGTTTCACCTTGTTGGCCAGGATGGTCTCGATCTCCTGACCTCATGATCTGCCCACATCGGCCTCCGAGAGTGCTGGGATTACAGGCGTGAGCCACTGTGCCCGGCCCCAGTTGCTTAATTTTTGTATACACACACACGGAATTGAGATGCCCCAGGTAAAGAAACTGAGTGGGCTGTGGTTTGTGCCTACAGTCCCAGCTACTCCAAGGCTGAGGCTGGAGGATCACCTAAGCCTGGGAGTTTGAGGGTGTGGTGAGCTGTGATTGGACCACTGCACTCCAGCCTGGGTAACTGAGACCCCATTTTTTTTTTTTTTTAAGAGAGTAATTGAGTAGGGATTTAAGATACTTGCCTGAACTCATATAGCACATATAAATATGGAGCTAGAATTCAAATTCAATTATGTTTTCCTTCAGGGTCACTCAGGTCTGCCCAGAACCTATCTAAACTAATATAGTGGGCAGTTATATATAGTGACCACTAATGTAGTATCATCTAGCTGTCTAGAACACTGCTACGAGCTAAGCACAAGAAGTTTCTTCTTGTGAACAAAATCTTGATTTCTCCCCGGTACACCTGGATGGAGGATGTCTGGTCTTCTACAGGTCATTCTCTAGGAATCTCGAGAGAGAGCCTTCCCACTCAAGTTTCCCAGATTAAAGCACCTCAACTCCCTTAGCCATTCACCCATGGTCCTGATTTTCCCCCACTTCTCTCTTAGTATCTCTCAAACTGCACACTTGGCCCTGGAGCTCAGCAGAATAGGCTCATGCTATTATGCCTTTTCAAAGTAAGTTTAATATATAATTCACATTGGCTGGGCGTAGTGGCTCATGCTTGTAATTCCAACATTTTGGGAGGCTGAGGTGGGTAGATCACTTTTGAGGTCAGGAGTTGGAGACTAGCCTGGCCAACATGGTGAAACCCTGTCTCTACTAAAAATACAAAAATTGGTGGGTGTGGTGGCACACCCCTGTATTCCCAAATACTCGGGAGGCTGAGGCAAGGAGAATCGCTTGAACCACGGAGGTGGAGGTTGCAGTGAGCCAAGATCGCGCCAGTGCACTCTAGCCTGAGCGACAGAGTGAGACTCTGTCTCAAAAAAAATAAAAGGAACTGAAACCAAAAGTGTCTTCTGTATCAAGCTTCAAATGAGCCCTGGAGTGAGCAAGCACTCTAGATAATGAAAGTGAACTGCGGGATAATGTGGCAAGGGCCCCTCCTCTGAAGTTGGGAACATGATCTAAGGACATCCACCTTTCTTATTATAGTCTCATTCAGGAAACAGCTTTTAAATGCATCTGCCCCGGTCGTGAATACCTGCTGTCTCTTTGGGCTGGCTATGGATTGCCTGACCGCCTCTCTATACCCTTGTTCTTTTCTTTTCTTTTTTCTTTTTTTTTTTTTTGAGATAGTCTCGCTCTTTATTAAAATAAAATAAAATAAAAGTAGTGGTAGTGATTGGTGGGGAGGGTGTATGCCATCCTCTAGACCGGTGGTCAGGGAAGTCCTCTTCCTTTCTACTGGTTTTGAATGGTAGTTTCTCCATGGCCCCCAGGCTTAGAACCTTTTTTTTTTTTTTTTTTTTTTTGCATCGACTCAGCCCTATGAATAAGCATCTCTGGGGTAAGACTCGGGACTCTGGATTTTAAAAATACAGTCTAGCTTGAAAGCTGCTACATGGACTGGGCACGGTGGCTCATGCCTGTAATCCCAACAATTTGGGAGGCCAAGGCGGGTAGATCACGAGGTCAGGAGTTCGAGACCGGCCTGGCCAAGATGGTGAAACTCCATCTCTACTAAAAATACAAAAATGAGCCTGGCACGGTGGCGGGTGCCTGCAATCCCAGCTACTTGGGCGGCTGAGGCAGGAGAATCGCTTGAACCTGGGAGGCAGAGGTTGGAGTGAGCCAAGATCGCACTGCTGCACTCCAGCCTGGGCGACAAAGCAAAACTCCATCTCAAAAAATAAAAAAGAAAAAGAAAGGAACGCTGCTACATGAGGCCAGGTCTGCCTTGTATGGGTGTATCCTTGCTATGGTATGCGCTAGAGCTGCAGAGGATAAGGTGTGGCACTCAAGAAGGATGCAGAAATAACCATCACTGCTGTCAGAGTTACTGATTTCAAAGGCATTTCTGTATGACCCAAGCCTGGTTTCAAATTCTTGGTCTGTCACAGATTAGCTGTCGCGACCATAGACAAGACAGTTCACTACTCCAGACTTCAGTTTTCATCATCAATAAAGTGGGAATAGTAATATCTCTTGGGAGGATGAAATGGGATAATCTATATGTTACTGTCTAACTTTGCTTAGCACACAGCTGAGGGAAAAACAACCTGTAAAATAACTTACCCCATACCACACAGCTTGTAAGTGGCAGAATTGGGCCTAATTACCCAGAGAAGTGATTCTCAGGCCTAAATATCCATCAAGATCATCAGGAAAGCTTATAAAG